AAAACCATAGGCAGCTTTGTAATCCTTTTAAGGCTATGGCACAGTTCTGAACTTAATGGAAAAAAAAAACTGGGAAAAGCATTCATCATTCCCCTACCTCATTGTACCCTTCTCTTTTTCTCATCACCATACCCCCAAACATTTATATGTGTACACACACATAAACAGAATGTGAGTGTGCATGAGGAGGTGGCGTAATATAGTGAAATGAACACTAGGCAAGGAGTCAGGAGATCTGGGTTCAAGTTTCACCTCTGCCACTAGCTATTGTCACCCTGGGCAAGTCACATTACCTCCTTGCACCCTGATTTCTTCATTTTTAAGATGGAGATTAGACTAGATGCTCTCTAAGGTTCCTTCCAGATATAAGACTCTGATTCTGACATTATCACGTGCTGACAATGTGTAACCTTGCAACAAATCATTGTTATCTCCTTAGGATCACTAATGGCCCTTCCTCGCTTGTAGTTCACATGCCTATATGTACTAGTCACTCTCAGTCCTACTGTACTCTTTGGACTTTGACAAAAAGATATAAGGAAATCAAGGCTGTTTTGACAAGCCAGGACCTGAAGACAACACTGATTTGTCCTGACATACTGGTTAGAAGAGAGTGCCTTATATCCATTTGTCAGCTATATTCAACTCAATTGATGGTTATCAACAAGATCTCTTTCAATTCAGTTAAGATACACACACATACACATATATAATATACATATATGTAAAACATTATTTAATTAGTACCAGTTCCTTAGAATACTAGACATTATATCTACAAATTATTTTCCATTCATTTCTTCCCCATACTTATTTATTTCAGTGCGTCCACTACAAATTTCCAAATGGTAGTTGTGTCAATGGAGAAAAGGGGCTGTATGTGAAAGATGTCGTGAAGGTAGAAATGGCAGTATTTGGCAACTGATTGATATGTAGAGTGGTTAGACCAAGGTAATGCCAAGGTTATAAACTTGGGAGACTAGAAGGATAGTGGTGTCTTCTACTCATGTGGCTACCACTCTATTCCATGCCCATATCACCTCTGTCCTGGACTGTTATAATAATTTCCTTTTTTAAGAAATAGAGTTTCATTTTTATCTTTTGTTTTTACATCATCTGCTTACCCTCAGCCATCCCTTATAATGAATTTTTTACATGGAAGAAAGATTCAGCAAAACTAATCAGCATACCGGGAAAAAAAAATGGCTGGTGTTAAATGCAGTGCTCCACACCCATGGATCCTGACTTCTTTAAAGGATTTAGTAGAGGTTTTTTTCATATATGTCTTCTTTGGGTCCAAGCTTGGTCATTGTAATTTCTCAATGTTCAGCTTTAGTTGTTTTGTTTCTATTATTGTTTTTATTTACATATTTTTTCCTGGTTCTACTTGTTTCACTTTTCAGCAGTTTATGTCTTTTCATGCTTCTTTGTATTCATTTTCATAATTTCTTTTAGCACATTAATATTCCATTAAGTTTATACAACACATTTTGTTTAGCCATTCCTAATTAGTATTCAACTATTTGTTTCTGTTCTTCACTACCACAAAAACCATAATTTTGAATTATTCAAAAAAAGTGACTAAAAATATCCGACTCTTTTACCCAGAGATTCTACTGCTAGGCGTATACCCAAGGAGATCATAGTTTTTGTTTCGTGTTTTTTAAAAAGGCCCTATATGTAGGAAAACATTTTTAGTAGGACTTTTAGTAGTAACAAACCTAAGTGTAATGCTTATTTATTGGGGAATGGCCAAACAAACTGTGATACATGAATGTAATAGAATATTGTTCTGTTGCAAGAGATGACAACTATTATGAATACAAAGAAACATGGAAAACCTTACATAACCTGATGCAAAATGGAGTAAGCAGAGCCAAGAAAACAATATATGCAGTGACTACAACAATATAAATTGAAAGAACAACCATGACCAAAAAAAATCAAAGATGAATGTTGCAAAATTGCAAAGCATACCCATGTCCCCATAGAAGGTATATAAGAAGATACTTCTCTCCACTCGTTTGTAGGGGGCAAATGTGTGGAATATTGCATATATTGTCATATTTTATTCAGTGTATTGATTAGTTTTGCTGGTTTCTTTTTTCTTTTCCCTCTTTTTTTCTTTAAAAATTTATTATTATGTAGAATCGCTCTCTGGGAAAGGGGCAGGGGAGATGGAAAATTTAGGTGATGTAAATAAGATATCAGCATATTTTAAAGTGATATCATAAATATTTGGGTGTTTCTTTTTATGGTTTATATCCTTGGTCAATATGCCTAGCAGTGGAATCTCTAACAAAGAGTTTGGACATTTTAATTGCTTTCTTTGCCTAATTTCAAATTCAGTAGTCTTTTAATTGGTCTACTGACCTCATCTCCCCCTTTCTGTTCGATCTTCCACATAGATGACTAATTGGTATTCTTAAATTATAAGTCATAGTGTCACTCCCTCTTCAAAAAATTCTAGTGACTCCCTATTAAGAATAAGAATAATAACTACAGTAATAGCTAACATTTACATAGCACTTACTGTGTGCCAGATACTCAATTGTTGTCTCATTTGATCCTCCTAACAACCCTGGGAGGTCGATGCTATTATTATCCCCATTTTACAGATGAAGAAACTGAGGTTAAATGACTTTCCCTGGGTCACACAGATAGCAAGTAGTTGAGACAATATTTGAACTCGGGACTTCCTGACTTCCTGCCCAGCACTCCATCCACTGCACCATAATTATCTCTGGTATGAAGTATAATCTCATCTGTTTGGCTTTTAAGACCTTTTTTAAACTGGCCCTGGGCCTCCTTTCCAGCCTTATTATTCAATACCCCTTCCTTCTTGCTAATCTTCACATACAACATACCACCTCTCAAGTCTGATTTTCTACCAGCTTTTTCTCATCCCTGAAATGTGTTCCCTCCCCATCTCCACCTCATAGAATCCCTTGTTTCTTCCAAAACTCAGCTCATGTGCCGAATTCTACATGAAGCCTTTTCTGATCCTCCCTAGTTGTTTGTGTCCTCCCTTCCTATTATCTTGCATTTTATTTGGGTACACTTATATATGCACATAAAGTCTCCCCCCATAGAATCGAAGCTCCTTGATGAAAGGACTTCCATGCTTGCTTTTGTAGAGCCTAGCTTAGGGCTTAACAGAGTAGGCCTTCAATAATTCATTGTTGATTGATTAGTTGCTAGTTTGGCAACCAGATTGAGAAGTTTTCACAAAGTACATTTCAGTATTTCTTAAGATTAGTCATTTCAACAAAGGTAGATACTCCCTTTGTAGATGGGTCTACCTTTTGAGATGGGCTTCATGATCTGAAGTATCCATAAAGATTCATCACTTTCATCTGAAGAACACCTCCAGATTTAGCTAGGCTTGTCCTCAGAAAAGACATATTCTCTTGATGGACTCATGTTCAAATACTTTCTAGATAGACATAGGGTCCACCAAAGCTCATACTTCGTTGTCAAATCCTGAAAAACCTCAGGGGCATCTCCATGATAAAATGAAGCATTGGACTAGAACTTCAGTAATACAAAACATTCCAGGGGGGTAATGAGGAAGGAAGGTGGAGGTGGGAATCAGTTTATAAAGAAGGAAGGTGGAGGTGGGAATCAGTTTATAAATTGATAGGGTAAATAAGTTCCTTTTCATAAGTTACACACATCTTCTTACTTTTTGTTTGGAAATGTGTTCTAGAAATATTTTATCATAGTTTTGGAGCTAGAAATGACCTTGCTAGTTATTTAGTTCAACCCCTTCATTTTGCACATAAGAAAATGAGGCCTCGAGAGGTTAACTTGCCCAAGGTCACACAACTAGCAAATGACAGAGCTGTTATTTGAACCCATGTTCTCTAACTCTATACCAAGCTATCTCTTTCTGAAAAACATCCCATATTGAATTAAATTCCAAGAAACTAATGGGTTGGGAGTTTGTGTTATGAATACACTTGCTATTTATCAAAATAACCCCAGGCTCCAAAACCTATGGATATTCTCCTTTTGTGTTTATCTCTTTTGGTTTTAACATGAAATTGTGGTTCAGTTCCCATTTCCTCTATTTCAAAGAAAAGTGTAAGTTTCTTGTGAATATCAAGCTTCAGTTTGACTATGGAAAACATTGTGGATATGTGGAGTATATATTTTAAATCTAGTGACTTTTGTTAATCAGCATTTTTAGAAATTAGGATATAGATTTTTAAAATTTTATTTTATTTTCAGTTAGCAAGAATCTTATTTTTTTCCATCCCACCTTCCCTTCATTGGGGAAAAAAAAAGAGGAATAACAAAACTTTTGCATCAAATATGCAGTAAAGCAAAACAAATTCCCACATTGGCCATGTCCAAAAAATGTATGTCTTATTCTTCATCTTGAGTCCATCCACCTCTCTTTTCTGGGGATGGTTAGCATACTTCATCATGAGTCCTTTAAAATCAAAGTTGGTCACTGTATCAATTTCAGTTCTTTAGTTTTTCAGAATTGTTTATCTTTATGATGTTGTTATTGAATAAGAAGCAGAATAAGAAGAATTCTGTGTCTTATGCACAGAGCCAGAAAATAGAATTTACAGCCTATGCCCAATGAATTATCCTAGATAGGCAGAGCTCTCCCAAATGGATTATACATTTTTTTAAAGTCCAAAATATTGGGACACTGAATAACAACATTGTTTTCATTATCAAGAATAGTGAATTCATTATTCTAACCAAGCAGTGATAGCCCTGGAAAATTGTTTTTTAAAGAAGGCATATATTGCTTTTAAGAATTTCCTAATGTGCTTTATAGATATCAATGCAGTATTAGTTATAGGAAAGAAGTAGAATGGCAAATATGAAACAAAATTTGAATAAAAATCATTGGACATCATGTTTGTTGGTGTCAGATTAGTTATACAGTTAGAATTTTATTTTTTTAATTGATGGCTTCTTGGGGCATCAAATTTTTGGTAGACTTCTATATGAGGATCTTTATGATTTTTGTTTTTCAGGAGTTTTAAAAATATTTAATCATTCATGAGTTGAGCTTCCTTCTTGAGTCATGGATGACAAGGCCTCTGTTGGGAAAATCAGTGTCTCCTCAGACTCGGTATCAACTCTTAACAGTGAAGATTTTGTCTTGGTTTCCAGGCAAGGGGATGAAACACCATCTACAAATAATGGTAGTGATGATGAGAAAACAGGACTGAAGGTAAGAATTCTTACCCTGAGTTTATTATGCTTTCCTCTAAGTGAAACTTACACTTGGCCATTTGACTTGAAAACATTGAAATTGATTTCTTTTGTCAGTAAGTTTCTTTTCCATGTAAGTGGATTTGACAGAATTTGTATTTGATTAAAGAGTTTCCTTATTGATCTTTTTCTGCTTAATACTATAGTAGTCATAACTGTTTATCAAAATCACTTGTTGCAAGATAAACATTTGTGTTATCTTAGCATTTTTGTGACTTCTATGATGATAGTAGCTCATGTTTATGTGGTGTTTTACAGGTTTGACAGTGGTTTCCTCCCACAAACCATTTATTTACCATTTTTCTTTATAATTAAGTAGAAATTATTCCTCCTGCCCCCTATATTACTTTTACCACCACCACCAATTTACACAAGGAAATTGAGGTTCAAGAAGCTAATGGTTTATGAGGGCCAGTCAGCTGGTCAGTAGAGGAACAGATACTACAATCTAGGTCTTCCATATACCACACCCAGCATTCTATTCAGATCAAGCTGCACTGCTGTACATGAAGAAGATTTTGGAGGAAAGTACTTATTTGGGGGGGGGCCTAATATGTCTTATATAAGGGTAGTGCCAGGCCGGCAGCACTGTTTATTAAATTAAGTTTTAGTATTACCAAAACAACTTTAAATATCAGAACTTTTGACCACTTATATTTGCTTTCTCTTTGCCACACAACAATTCCTTTTCTCACACACCATTGTCATCTTGCTTCTTAGGGTTACAAAGAGTGGCAGTTGTGTTAACCATGATGTGTTCATGGATAGAGTTGGAAGAGACATCAGATGTCATCTAAGTCCACTCCTTGTGTTACAGATAAAGAAACTGAGGCCCAGAAAGGTGAAGTGACTTGCCAGAGTCACACTGCTAATAAGTAACACAGGCAGGATTTGAACACATGTCCTCTGCTCTCAGATGTAGCTGTCTTTTGCCATTCTTATGACCATCAAAAAAGAACTTTCCTCCCAAGTGTCAACACCTTGTCTCTCCGGTTTCTTTTATTTGAAAGTTTCTTTTTAAGAAACACAGTACTTGAGGAAGCATAGTACAATACCTTATTGAGCTGAATTTATTAAATTCAGGCAGATAGAGCACTGGGCCTAGCGTCAGGAAGACCTGAGCTTAAATCTGGTCTCAGATACTTACTAACTATGTCACCTTAGGCAAGATACTTTACTTCTGTTTGCCTTATTCTCCAACTATAAAATGGGGGAAATAATAGCACCTGCCTCCCAGGATTGTTGTGGGTATCAAATGAGATATTTGTAAAGCACTTAGCACAGTCCCAGGCACTATATAAATGTTGTTGTTGTTATTATTATTAAGGTTGGAAATATCACATATGATCATTTTAATTTGTTGCCCTTCCCCAACTAAGAAGTATCTTATAGATAGTCAGTCAGTAAACATTTATTAAGCACCTACCATGTGCCAGGCACTATGCTAAGTGCTGGGGAAACAAAAATAGGCAAAAGACAGTCCCTTCCTTCAAGGAGCTCACAAGCTAATGAGGAAAGACAATAAGCAAATAAATATGTACAAATAAGTTGTATACAAGATAAATAAAAATAATTAAGAGAAAGAGCTAGAATTAAGAGGGGTTAGGAAAAGGCTGCCTATAGAAGATAGGACTTTAGCTGGGACTTAAAGGAAGCCAGTAAGAGATTAGGAGGGAGAGCATCACAGGCATGGGAGACAGCCAGAAAAAAGATTCAGAGCCTAGAAATGGAATATCTTGTTCTAAGAACATCAAGGAGGCCAGTTTCACTGGATCAAAGAGTACATAGTGAGGAGTAAGATGTAAAAAGACTGAAAAGGTAGAAGGGGGCTAGGTTATGAAGGGCTTATAATACCAAACAGAGAATTTTATATTTGATCCTGGGGTCACTAGGGAGCCACTAGAGTTTATTGAGTAGGGGAGTGACATAGTCAGACCTGCCCTTTAGAAAAATCATTTTGGTGGCTGAATGGAGGATGGATTAGAGTGGGGAAAAATTTGAAGTGGGCACATCCACTATCAGGCTTTTGCAGTAGTCTAGGAGTGAGGTGATGAGGGCCTGTACCAGAGTGATGGCAGTGTCAGAGAAGAGGAGGAGGCATATTCAGAAGATGTTGCAGCGGAGAAATCAACAGGCCTTGGCAATAGCTTGGTTATGAGAGGTAAGAAATGGCCAAAGATGTCACCTTAGGTGTGAGACTGAGAGACTGGTTGTATGATGTCACCCTCTACTGTAATAGGGAAAGTAGGAGGTGAGGAGAGTTTAGAGAGAAAGATAATGAGTTCAGTTTGGGACGTGTTGAGTTTGAGATGTCTGCTTGATAGCTAGTTCAGATGTCTGAAAGGTAGTTGGAGTTGTGAGATTGGAGGTCAGCAGAGAAGTTGGAGCAGTATAGGTAGATGTGAGAATCATCATAAAGATGATAATTAAATTCTTGGAAACTGATGAGATAACCAAGTGAAGTAGTAAGAGGGAAGAGAGAAGAGGGCCCAGGACAGAACCTCTGGGGTTTTTAACCCATGGTTAGAGGGTGTGATCTGGATGAGGATCCAGCAGAGGAGACTGAAAAGGAGCAGTCAGGTGATAGGAGGAGAAGTGATGTCTTAAAAACCAAGGGAGAAGAGAGTATCAAAGAGGAGAGAGTGATCAGCAATGCCAGCAGCTTCAGAGAGGTCTCAGATTATGACGATTGAGAAAAGACCATTGGACTTGGTAATTTCGTTGGTAACTTAGGAGAGAGTAGTTTCAGTGGAATGATGAAGTTGAAAGCCCGATTGTAAGGGGTTAAAAAGAGAGTGAGGGGAGAGAAATTGTATTGCACACAGTGTTTTCAAGAAGTTTAGCCATAGGGGCAGTTAGGGGGCACAGTGGATAGAGCTCCAGCCTTGGAGTCAGAAGGACCTGATTTCAAATCTGGCCTCAGACACTTAACATTCACTTGTGTGACCCTGGGCAAGTCACTTAACCCTGATTGCCTCACCAAAAAAAAAAAGAAGAAGAAGAAGTAGTAGTTTAGCCATAAAGAGCAAAAGAGATAGAGGACAATAACAGGGATGGAAGGATCAAGTGAGGGTTATTTTCCCCCCGTAGGAAGGGGGAGACATATTTGTTTGCAGTAATTAAGGAGCTAGTAGACAGGGAGAGATTAAAAATAAGTGATAGAGTAGGGATAACAGAGGAGGAAATCTATTGGGAGAGTCTGGATGGAATGGGATCACTAGAGCAGGTAAAGAGGTTAAGGAGGAAGGCCACTTCTCACATGAGACAAGGGTAAATGAGGAAATAGTGGCAGAAGGCATATAAGTGATAGGAGAAGAAGAGGGGAGAAGAGAAAGCTCGTAACAAATGGCCTCAGCTTTTTTTCTGAAGATATGAGACAGGGTTCTCAGCTGAGAGTGGTTTAAAAACAGAGGAAAAAGTTTGGAAGAGCTGCCGTGGAGAGTTGGAATAGTGAGTTGATGAGGGAAAGGTATCATAGGATTGCCTAGCAGCAGTGAGGTCCCAGTTGAGATTGTGTAACATAAATTTGTAGTGGACCCAGTCAGAATGATTATTTGATTTTCCTCTTCTTCGTTCAGCAGCTCATGTGTAGGAGTAAAGGCTTGTAGTGTATTTTATGTGAATGCCAAATATTTTTGAATGGATCTATATCTTTAGCATGTACAAAGTGGATTCTACAAATTTTAGGGCTCAGATCAAAGCCCCCAACATGAGGTCTTGTCTTTGTATCCCCTTTATCTTTCTGCACATATGCAAGTAGTGTGGTGATTGTGGCAATATTGTTATTATTAGCAGGGCCAGAAACTTTTGTGAGACAAAATTTAAGGAGAGGCATAAGAGAACTTATGTCATTTACTTGCTATGGCCAGAATTGTTGTGAAGAAGGTAAAGGCACTTTAGAGTACTAAATAAATGTAAGCAGTGGTTATTAACAACTTGTCAAAGCCTCACTTTCTTTATCTGTAAAATGAGGCTAATGAAACATACGCTCCATATTTCATAAGGTAATTATGAGAAAAATGCTTTGTATATCTCAGAGTTATTTGTGTGATGTTTTTATTATTTTTAAGAGGCAGAGACATAATGGCGTGGCAGTAGTACTACCAACCTCTTCCCCTTTCTGTTTCATAGGGTTGTGATGAGGATTAGATTACTATCTATACAAGTATTTTGGGCTTAGAGAGCATTCTGAAATCTGCTGGTTCAATTTAGTTGAATTTCAAGTTTAGTTTAATTCATCAGAATTCATTCCTCAGGAAGATAGTCTCTACCCCCTCTTCAGAGTTCTGGCTGTGTAGTCTAGTGAGGGCTTCCTGTTTCGGGGGTTGTTACTACTAAAAATTTAAATAATTTCTTCTTTTACAGGGCATTTTGCCAGCCCATATCAGGAATGGAGATACTCCTTCAAATGAGGGTGAAAAAAGCAACAGTCTAAGAGAATACTGTCTCAGTGATCTCTTTATGTCCCTTGCCCTTAAAATTAAGCTACCAGCTGCTGGTGATTCCTAGGAGACTAAAGTCTGTTAGAGAATATTAATGTCCTCCACTCAGTACATCCTGAGTTTTCTGTCCTGAGTTGTTAAAGAGATTTGTTAGTCGTAAGGGAGTTCTCCAAGCTTTATGAAAATAGAGAAACAGGAATAGAAGTCAACTCCTCCCACCTGGAAATGCCTAAATCAGCATTTCCCAACCTGTTCCCAAACTCTTTATGTTTAGCCTAAAATGGCTAGGGATTCAGTTCTGGCAAAAATTTTCCCTCTAAATATGAAATTATGTTCTTTTCTAACTTTGGACTTGTGATCTCATTAGTGTGGGTACTTCTTTCACCAGTACAAATTTAGTGCCTCTAAATTATTTTGTCCAAGTAAATCTTCTGTGAAGGATCTACCCAAAGTGCTGTATGTCTTTTAGTTCTTTCAATATTTTGTGGGTCAATACACAAGCTATCTATTTATTATT